ATTACCTAGCTTGTCGCCTCTCATTTCTTCTACTTCGGCCGTCGATAGCTCGTTTTTATTTATCTTTGGTTTATATTATTGTTAATTTAAAATCGCAACAATTCATTTTCCTGTGCTGCTGTTATTCCAAGTAGTTTACCTAAAATCACGTGATTAAATTCTTGACTTGTTAAACTCAACTTTTACCCCCACTTATTTAACGTGATTAGATTTTTGACTAGTAATTGTGACCCTTGTTTTACTATTTTACATATATCTGCAGTATTAGCTTACCATATTTGGATTTACCTAATCCCAAACTTTTAATTTAAATGCTCAAATTACTATTTTTCGTTATTTGCGCTTATTGTTTATTAATCTTTCCATCGCACGTCATTTAACTAGTATTACATTACATGCAATTGTGTAGTGGTCGTCTTACCACTTTTAGTTCCAATACATTAACCATGGACCCATTCCAACTTGATGCACATTAGACAATTAGCTCAACTTACTAACGCTGATAACTGTGAAGCATCCCATAATATACACTATCATCATCGACAAGGTGGTCATCTTCGAACGAATGGTGATTGGGACCATGAACGAGAATGAGGCCATGGCCGTCACAATACTCATTTTCCTCCTCGCCATGAAGAGCGCTACGTTAGAAACATCAAATTAGATGCTCATACTTTCGATGATTGCTTAGATCCTAGAGTTTTTGCTCAATGGGTTAGAGACATGAATCTTTTCTTGGCATGGTATGGAGTATCAGAGAATCGATGAGTCCAATTTGTCGGTCTAAAATTAACGGCACTGCCCAATTCTTTTGGGAAAGTGTTGAGGATATCCTTGAGAGGAGTCTGAACTTCTTGTTGGAAGTTGGGAGTGGATGAAGCATCGCTTTCAAGAGAAGTATTTACCCCAATCTTACAAGGGCAATTTGTTCGACCAATGGAATGCCCTTACACAGGGAAATCATCTAGTAATTGACTATGTTACTCAATTTGATGAATTTTGAATGTGGTGTCACGTCGTTGAGGATGAAACTATGACTTTAAGTAGGTTTAGACATATCTTAAGAGATGATCTTAGGCGTGAGCTTGTCCTTCGAGGTGTCACTACTTTTGATCACACTTACTCTTTAGTCCAAGATTATGAGTTGGTTACTAAGGCTCAGTATGGAAGGCGTAGTGACAATCGTCCTTCCATCTCATCATGCTACCTCCTCCTGTTAAGTCCCACATCGGGCATCCACCATCTAATGTTCTTCCTGTGTTGGAAAATAAGGGTAAAGCTCCTGAAATCCCAAGAACTTCTTCCCGCTTGCAGTGCTTCAATTGTAAGGGCTTTGGTCATATCTCATCCAGATGTCCTAGTCGAGCCTTAGTCATTGAGGAACAAAATGATGTCGTCAATAAGTCATTAGAAGATCAAGGCTTTGAGCCTAAGTTTGAAGAATTTGACGATTTGGATGATATTGAGGATACCTTATTAGGTTGTATCTGAACCTTTCTTGTTTTCGCAGTTAAGTATTGTACGTTGTACCCTTGCTCAACTTAAATATGTTGACGACTGGCATCGTCATCCCATTTTTCACACTTATATCAAGATCAATGATAAGGGTTGCAAAATTATTTTGGATACTGGTAGATGCATTAACACATTTTTTGTAGCTACAGTGTCTTGTCTTGGATTGCAGCCAGTCCCACACCCTCAACCTTATAGTGTCTCTTGGGTAACACTTCTTCTATTGCTGTAAGTGAGCATTATTTAGTACCTATCCAGTTTCTTGAGTATAAAGATCATATGGTGTGATGTCATTCCCATGGATGTCGAACATGTCATTCTTGGTCGACCTTGGTTGTTCGATTTGGATGTAACTATCCATGGTTGGTCAAATTCATGTTCCTTCGTATTTAATGGGAAGAAGATTCACCTCAATCATTGACCACCAAAACTTGTTGATTTACAACAAGAAAAATTTTGGAACGGAAATGATTGCATATGATTAGTCATATAGAACATGAGCGTACACTCATAGACAATTTTGTCATGTTCGTTGTTATTGTTATGGAAGTTCTATCGGAATCTCCAATATTGACCATTGATCAAGTCAGTTCTTCAAGAGTTTCAAGATGTTTTTCCTGATGACCTCCTTGATCTATTGCCTCCTTTACGAGATATTAAATATGCTATAGATCTTGTCCCTAAATCATCTCTCCCAAATCTACCTCATTATAGAATTAATCCTATTGAGCATGCTGAGCTCCAGAGGCAAGTGGAGGAGCTCCTTTACAAAGGATTCATTCGTAAAAGTTTAATTAATCCCGCCCTTTTGACTCATAAGAAAGATGGCACTTAGAGGATGTGTGTTGATAGTCGTGTCATTAATAAGATCACAATGAAATGCCATTTTTCAATCCCTAGGTTTGATGATATGTTGGATATTATGGTTGGTGCCACAATATTTTCTAAGATTGATTTAAAGAGTGGTTATCACCAAATTAGGATTCGCCCATGTGACGAATGGAAGACTTCCTTTAAAACGAATGATGGTCTTTATGACGGTTGGTCATGCATTTCGAACTAACTAATGCCCCGAGTACTTTCATGACAACGATGACATAAGCTCTGCAACCATTCATGGGTAAATTTCTCTTCGTCTACTTTGATGACATCCTCATGTACAGTAAAACTAGGGAACAACATCGAGATCATCTCATACAGGTTTGTTCTACCCTTGGTGCAACAAACTTGTATGCTAATGTAAAGAAGTGTTCTTTCTTCACTGATAAAATTGTCTTCATAGGATTCATTGTCTCCGCTACAGGAGTGTCTGCTGACCCTACAAAGATTTAAGCCATTGTTGGTTGGCATGAACCCAAGACTATACATGAAATTAGGAGTTTTCATGGTTTAGCTACCTTTTATCGTCGTTTCATTAAAGGGTTTAGCACGATCATAACTCCTATCACAGAGTGCATGAAGAGGAGATTTCATTGGACGTAAGAAGCGGCTAAAGCGTTTAAGTTGGTTAAAAAGCGAATGACTGAAGCTCCAACCATGCGACTTCCTGACTTCTCCAAAGTTTTTGAGGTAGAGTGTGATGCCTCCGGAGTAGGAATATATGGAGTCCTGAGCCAGGAATGCTATCGTGTTGCTTATTTCAGCGAGAAATGAAATGATGCGAAACGGTGATACTCAACTTATTATAAGAAATTGTATGCAGCTATGCAGGCTTTGCGCTATTGGCGTCATTACTCATTACCCCAAGAATTTGTCCTTTACTCATACCATGAGGCCTTTCGTTACTTTAATTCTCATAAAAGGTTTAATTCTAGGCATGGTCACTCGATTGAATATTTGCAGGCCTATTTTTTTTTATTTTTTTTTTTGAAACATAAGAACGACGTTGAAAAGCAAGCAGCTAATGTTTTAAGCCGTCATATCTCCCTTTTGTCTATCATGAGTATCAAGGTCATAGGTTTTGAAAGACTTAAGGATGAATACGACTCTTGTCCCGATTTTAAGGACATTTTTCTTGGCTTAAAAAGTGGGCAATCGGATACTACTCATGGTTTCCTTCTTGAGGAGGCTATTTTTTTGGGTCCAATAAGTTGTGTATCCCTTGATCTTCAGTACGTGACTTTATAGTTTGGAAAAGTCATGCCAAAAGCTTGGTCAAACATTTTGGACATGATAAAACCATCGAGCAGATTGAACGTGGATTTTATTGGCCTCGTTTGAAGACTGGTGTGGCTAAGATAGTTAGTACTTGTAACACGTGTTAGTTGGCCAAACAAAAGAGGCAAAACACGGGTTTGTACACACCTCTTCCCATCCCTAATTGTCATTGGAAAGATGTTGTATGGATTTTGTAGTAGGACTCCCACGTACTCCAAAGAAACATGACTCTATTTTTGTTATAGTGGATCGTTTCTCGAAAATGGCATTCTTTATCCCTTACAACAAGACGTCATATGCGTCTAAGGTTGCCAAGTTGTACTTTAATAAGATTGTTAAGTTGTATGGCCTTCTTAAGATCATTGTCTCAGATAGGGATGTTCGGTTCATGAGCCACTTTTGGAGAACCTTGTGACACATGGTTGGCACTAAATTGAAATTCTCCATAGCGTATCACCCTTAGACTGATGGTCAAATTGAAGTTGTTAATCGCAGTCTTGGTATTCTATTAAGGTGAATCTAATCCTCCCTACCACCCAAATTGCATATAACAGTTATCTGAATCGGTCTTTAGATATGAGTCCTTTTGAAGTTGTTCGTGGTTATAAACCTAGGAAACCTTTAGACCTTATTCCCATGTCCCTACATGCTAGTGTGTCTATATCATACATCTTCATAACTTGCATATTGAGATCAATAAAAAACTTGACGCAAATAATGAATCATATAAATTTCGAGCTGGTTTGCATAAACGATATATTGAATTTAATATTGGAGATTATGTTATGATTCGAATTAGTGATGTCCTTCTGGATCCATTTTCAAGTTGCAAGCCCCTAGTGCTGGTCCTTTTAAAACTTTGAAGTGTGTTGGTCCAAATGTATATGTCATTGACCTTCCATCATATTTTGGTTACCACTTTACTTTTAATGTTGATGACTTAATTGCTTACATAAGCCATTTTAATCCCTCTTAAGGATCCTTTTCTACCCCCATCTATGGACTCCCAACCTGAATCTGTTGCTATTTCTTTTCCAATACCACCTATCACAGCATATAAAGATAAAATTTATGTTATTTTAGATTAATGATGGAGAGATACAGTGATGCCCTGTTCATTGGATATATCGATTTGATTCTGATTATATATGGATTTTTAGAGAGACACTCCAGCAGCTTGATCCAAACTTATTGAAACTTTATCGGATCCAACATGATCTTCATTTACCCGGTCACCTTCCACCCATTTCAGGGGAGTCGATGGAGACACTAGATTCAAACCTCCACTCACGTGTTTATGGGTGTCGGAAGAAGATTGTGTTTTCAATATGTCAGTAAGAGCCTGATATCGGAGAAGTACCCGTCAAGAGGACATTGAATCTTTGTTGTTCACTATAAATAAGTAAAGCAGTAAAACACAGGTACCTACGCAAGAAGGCATTAACTTTGATATTACATAAATGGTTCATGACCTAACCATTACTAAGGCTCAATACAGATATGTAATGATTAAAGGAAAAGCACTATTTAGCCTTTTAACTCTGAAATGTTCAGCATCGCATTCTGAGTGCAACTTTTTCCCATTCAGAGACATTCCTGGACTCCTTGTTTTGTATGCAACAGAGCAATATTTGGGTACCAAGCACGAATATGTTTCAACTTCACACCACCTACCAAAGTTTCTCATTTTTGAATACCATATTAGTTTCCTGCCGAGCTGGACCTGGCCAGGCCAATATGTGCTGAGCCTGGTCAGGCAAGCCACAGGGTCCAATACTTTTTTTACCTCCTTTATATTGATTTTCTGGAAAAACAACCACGTGGCTGCACCTGGCTACCCATTCCTGTCACAGGATTCACAGCCCAAGTTTACAACCCCTACCTCCTAATTTTTGTATCGATATCATATAATAAAACTGACCAAGAATCAAAATAAGTTTTTGTCCCGCCCAAAAGGCAGAGCAATATTGAGGAAGGTAATCATATATATTATAGTTCATATAAAAGAGTGACGTAACAGTAGACACACTACACTCCCAACTTTTGCATATTCTTCTTTCGAAACGAGGTCAATATGTGCTCCAACCAATTGTTCAACCAAGAGTTAATCCAGGATCTTTCTCCACAAGGACCTTAAAAATTGGAAGATGATAGGTAATATACGTATTAAATACATAAAGGGAGGAGCACACTGCTCCTGAGCAGAAGCCTAACTGAAGCAATTTAATAACATTCACAACCAAGTACCTTTGAACTACGTTGGACAAGATGTTACGGGTTAAAGAACAGAACG